GCAGCCCTAATAATGGCCCATGTACACTATTTTCTATCATTTTTAAAGCACTGTCTGTTAACTGTGGCTGAAACGAGGATTATACCTTACATGCACACCACACAAGGTGGAGAAAGATCAGAGTTACTTATTCATACTACAGAAATGTGCTGGTTTAAACACCATGAGGCAATTTATATGTCAGGCTAAAGGAGACTTAAGGCTTTTAAAAAGAGCCTGTTCATTCAAACTCATGTATTAGTACAAAACTAGTAGACCACGCCGTGGGTTCAGCAAATATCTGGACCCCAGCTGTGTTCAATCAAACAGCTACCACAGGCTGCAACATAATTGGGCCTCTCAATACACCCCAGGGTGAAGAGTTCACCCACAATAAATGAGCCGTTTATAGAAGCATGCTGCAGTCAGAATCAGCACCGTCTACAATATTCCAGCCTTTCGGTGTAGGAATTTTATCTTTATTCATTCCAAGCCCTAATAAAGTCTGGTATAATAATAACACCCGACTCTAATACACTCAGAATTGTATAAGAAAAAATAAAGAAATAAAAAAATGGTTCTGGGTTCCAGCTGAACGTGACGGTTCAGCAGACTGATCGTCTGACACGGAGCCACAGGAGTCCAATAACAAGAAACCGTCTGTGATGGGGGCTGGATAGAAAATATTCACCTATCCGCCTTTTGTCAGTTCTCTCAGGTATTTACAGATCACAGCTTGCACAATATATTAATAGAAAGTGTGCGATACCATAACAGCCAAAGGTACTCTGCTCCTTTAATGTGGTCCTTTAGAGATCACATGTGATAATAATTAGTTGTCTATTCTAATTTTAATTACACATCTGACGACCAAACCAACATTTATACCAGTATGCCACAACTGAAAGGGACCTCTGGCTCGAGCAGGGCGATATGGCCAAAAATATTTATCACGATATATATTTGAAAATTTGCGATAACGATATAACTGACGATAAAATATATTTTTCGGACCATAAGGTGCACAGGATTATAAGGCACATTAAGCAAAGCAGTCAGATAAATCAAACTTTATTCAACTCATTCTTCTTGCTTCCTCCACTTCTGTACCATTGAATCATTAATACTGAATTCTGTCGCAGCTGCTCTATTCCCATGTTGTTGCAGTATATTAATGACTAACCTGGTATTGTGGATGGATTATCTCAGTTGTTCTCCTGACTGAAGTTTGGTCCGTTTACAGTATCCTGCCATGCGACTGCATTTGTCCCTAACCACCAGGAACCCTCACGTTAACTTTTATCGAGGGGAAAATTGTTAGCGTTCATCCTGCAGCTTCACTGTTTATGTTATGCTAACATAGCTGTGTAGCTAACGATCACGTAGCACATCATTATATAGCAGCTAGCTCAACTTCAGTAACCCTACAAACGTCACTGCTGTTTAGTTTCCTGTCTTCATTTATGTTGGAAGTGATAGCAGAGCTGTACGTTTGAATGTTTTCAGAAATCTCTCAGTCAGAACATGCTATATCATGCTTAGGTAACTAGCGAGCTAACTTCCGCTAGCTTCCTGCTAACTTCTAACTCCGTTAAATGTAATAAATTCTGTTTTCATGGATGCCTGGATGTTAAACTTCATAGTTACACCTGGTAAAGCAGCAATGCTGATCGTTTTATTAAAGATGAAAGAATTTAGACAGTTTTTAACTCTCAGTGATGCTCGTTTGACTTTGGGACCCTATGAGAACTGAGTTTAGGACCCAGATTACTCCCAGATTTACGAGCACCTTAGTCCGACAAATACGGCAATAACGACGGCCGCTTGCATGTTCTACCAAAAAAAAAAGAAAAAAAAAAAAAGAAATGTGCTTTGTCATGTATCTGACGGACAAACACCAAACCAGTTCCACATCACTGAAGTTGCACCATTTTTACAAACCAATTCTGGTTCATCCGTTTCACTCAACAATCGGCCATGTGCGTATGAAAACAAAGGCACTGCGCATGCGCGTTTTACCCATATTCTATTGCGATATTTCATTTTCTTATCGTTGCCTAACATTGTACCGGTATTATCGTGAACACTATAATATGGCCCAGCCCTCCCTCTGGCTCTCTTAGTCATCTTATAATCTTTGGTATCACTGGCATTTCTGGGTTTGGTTATTGGCAGGTTAGTCTGAGCGGTTATAAAGATGTCCTAATTATAAAACTTCCTCTGAAATATGCACATTCTTTTAACATGTAACAGCTCTTCCACAGAACATAAGTAGTAATTGGCTGGCTCTGGGTGTGGGACTGCAGTCACCCCCTTGTTCTCTGCTGCAATGTGTTGACGCTCAGGGCTAGAATACCGCTCAGATGGTATAGTAAGAAAAAGGAAAAGAAACACTGTAAATAAGACGTGTTAACCTAAGTACAGGTTGAGCAGTATATAAATACGTACAAAATTTTGTTTGATGCTTTCTCATAGAACAAGCAGGTGCTGGCCAAAGTGATTTCCTCAGGAAACAGCTACTTGGAGATACAAAGACTGCACTTCCTGTCCATTCATTTGACTTTAAACTGTGAACAAAGTCTTAGCCACAAACAGGATTTACATTTATATCTGCACCCGCTGCTACCGTTGGCGATTTTGGTGATAAACAACGCCGCACAAAAGTGCCTTTAAATAGGGAACACAATATACTGACGCCTGGAAATGACAAAGTTTCAACATTACTGACTTGTTGGTGCACACTATCCAACAACAGTTATGAATACTCTGCATGTCAGCAGCTGCCGGACATGTCTGAACAACACCGCTTCATGCGTATCTGTAATCACATCTGTGGGAGGATGTGGACTGAAAAGAATACTTGAGTGTAACTCATAGTGGATTCTTTTGCTACTGCTTAGCTACAATGTGGCAGTGTCAAGTTGTGGTGAGTGTCACCACCACACTGTGCAGTGAAACTTTTTTTTTTTAAATAAAAACATCTGCAGAAAAAAAGGGCAACTTGATTGATTTTACAAAAATGTTCAGCTGTGGTCAAAATGTTATAAAAAACATAGAATATTGTGGAAAAATTTCAGCATTCTTCGGGTCACGTGTACCCTAATGGTCACTCAGCTTTGCAAAAGTGCAGTACCAAATCAGTCTTCTCCAAATGTGGTGCGTTTAAGTAAAAAATAAACCCTTCTCCTTGTCTTTAGATGCAATTGGACTGTGCAAGGACGTGCATGTGGTGGCCATCTTCACACCATCACCTGGTCTGAAAATATCATTTTTGACACAGAAAGACTTGATCTCTATCCATCTACATCTGAAACCAGCATTTGTCACCATTTAGTTTCAGCCAGCTACAAGTCTGCCTGCTGTGTGGCCTGTAGAAAACACTTGTCTTTGTTCATAAAATTTAAAAAAAAGTTCTTTGGGGTGATGGCATTTTCTTAAACCACACCAATAAATTTACTTGATAATTCTGTTAATATTCTGTTCATGTAGAAAGTAATACATACAAAGTGGCCTCTATCTAACACAAAAAAGTAAATAAATAAACAAAAAAAAGAAATAATTCTGACTCTACTGTTTATTGAATATTCAGAGCCAACATGAATGAGCCAATGAATGATAGTGATAGCATGATGTGACCTGATGTGACCTGGGACACAAGGGCTCTGGGGTGTGTGTGTGTGTGTGTGTGTGTGTGTGTGTGTGTGTGTGTGTGTGTGTGTGTGTGTGTGTGTGTGTGTGTGTGTGTGTATAAAAGAGATAAACACCACTATGAAGGTGTATATAGACTCATGTTTATCAGAGTTAACAGATTTGCTGTTGAGTAAATTGTAGCCTTGCTTCTTCTCTTTTAACAAACAGTGGCGCAGGATGAATGGGAGCTATGGCTATTAAGTCTGCATGAGCAGTCAGCGAGCACATGGCTAGGCTTTAGTTTCCAATCAGCCATGCCGAAAGTGGCCACATGAAGCTTGGCAGGCTTTTCTCTGACCAATGATATGCTTAGCTGCACCAGAAACACGTGCTTGTCTGCAAACTCTACCTTTTCTCCCAGCATATCCGACAGTTACATAACAGCCATTTCAATGCTACACATGCTGATGTCAAAACTTGCACCCCAAAAAACAGAATCTGAGAGGGGTTTTTTCTGACACATCCAGTGCCAAAGGACACCTCAGATTTGGGGATAGACTTTTAGTACTTGGACTCAACATCCTGAAATAGAATATGCAAAGACAGCCTAAGTGAGCAAAACAATCCAGCCCATCTCAAAATGATATACCATCCTAGAAGCACTCGGGCAGTTCCCAGAATCCTCTATAGCTGTTTTACACATCATACACAATCACAATATATGTAGATAAAAAATATACACACACTTCAACAAGAGCCTTTGTGCATCTGTGAGATGAGTGCCAAATGAGAGGCATGTCCAATCCCTTTTGATTCCCTATTCTTCCTCAAATAGGCCACTCATTAATTAAGAGATGAAAAAACTTCAAACACATGCTCTTGAGTTGGAGTGGCACATCAAACGGGAGAATCACAGCAGCCTGCCATACTTAGGGCTTCGGTCGTGCAGTCCCATTACCCTGCACATGTAGCTTATACATTGTTTTTAGAGAGGATAAAAGAAGCGACTGTGACAGGCAATCCTATAAGACATCAAACCGATGAAAAACTGAAAGGCTCTCAGACTTTATCGCAACAACTGGTGCAGGCATATTTGCCATGATGGGAAGTGATGACCGCAGAAGAATCTGGATGATTCTACATAATCCAAAACGTCTTAGAAACTAAGAGCAGCGCTGATATATTCATGCAAGCCTGCCTGTTGATAAAAGCTCTGAAATTGCTGGACATTAAGACAAAGGCAAATTCAGAATCCCATCAGACAGACATTAGTGTGTGGCAATTAAGAAAAGGTCACACTTAAAAATGTTTTTTTGAAAAAAGTAGGCAGCTCTTTTCTTTTCCCCCCATAGCACTTTGTTGGTGAACACACAAGCAGCCCACAGCCTTACCTTCAATGCTGAGTTCAAAGCAGACGTGGCAGAAAGATAAGGTCCCCGTTTCTGTCTCTAGCTTACAGACGCTGCAGATATTGTCATCATTCAGATCAATGTTAACAAACTGTTCCTCTTCATCCATAGTGTGCCTGTGTTCAAACAATCAGTGACAGATAACACGGTTAGCATGCACAACCTCTAAGTGTATTTCTTAGTAATTAGGTCACACTTTCATATAAAGTTATTAAAAATGTACTTTTTGGTCGGGAGGAATGCTTTTTTGGGGGTCTAAACTATTTTTGGTGCAGATACAGTAAAAGGGACAGTGTCCTTTTTAGTACATCTTTAGTTGATGATAGAAAAATGATGACCCAAAATGATAAAATGGTCATGTGATCACTGAAGTGCTAGATTAAAAATGCCAGTCACTCTCTTAACACTGTGTGAACATGCTCCAACCCCTCCACACTGAACCAACAATACAAACATTAATGGCCCGGTCTTAAAACAACTGTTGTCTCATTGGGAAATATGTCAGGACACTCTAGAAACACATATAACAATGAACACAAGCAAGTAATGTAAACTACCCAATCCTTTCTTTGCAGTTGTTTAGACTGATGTTCAGTAACTTTACTCAAAATTACAAGTACTCCATTAGGTGACTGAAAACTTCCTCTTGGGAAAAAAACAAAGAACAAAAGAAAAACAACAAACTTGCCAATTAGTAACCATCTTGAAACACCACCGGGCATTTTTTGCAGTTATTTTGTAACATTATCTAAATTAACTTTAGTCTCATTGGTCACAGTTTGTTTGGTCTTGTTGGTACGCTCGTTTGTCAGCTGCTACCAGAGGAGGCACCTGGCTCTCTTAGATTAGTTCACTTGGTTTGATTGAAAAAAAGAGAGCCCCAACAAACAATGCTGACAGAGCTCTGGCCACCAGACGTGTTTCACCCCTTCTTGTCTGTAGGTCCCAACAGGAAAACTTCAGGCAGAGAGCTTTCAGCTTTCAGCTCTGCAATGCCCCAAGACTAAGGCCTCCACACCTAGAAACATTTAGCCAGAGCATGGAAAGTCAAGGCCTTTGCCAAGACTGCGCAATCTTATGCTGAGCTTTCTCAGCTCCTTTTAAAGGAGAGGATTTCTGACTGCACTACAAGCTCTATTTAAAACCTCTGCTGGACAGAAGTAATAACAACAATGATTACGTTCTGGATCATGTAATCAGGACATCATGAATACAGTGACAGAGTGGAAGAAAACTTCTCCCACTGGCAGGTTTGATTCCGTAAGAAATCCAACAAAACTCAAGACAAAAACAAAGGCTCTTTTTCATATTTCTTCTATTGCATGTGTCTGAGTTATAGCCACTAATTTCAGCTTCAGAATTCAAAGAATTTGTGGATTCTCTTCTCTGTCTGAAGATATAACGAGCATAGCTCAACGAACATTACAATAAGTCTGTGAAAAAAGCTAATAATGATGTTTGCATGGGGGGGGGGGGGGGGGGGGGGGGGTGGGTTCTTTTTCGTACCGCGTATTTGTATTTACAAAGGTGCCACATATAGAATAAAGAAATGAATTATTTTGCCATTATATTATACTTATGACTCTGCATTGTTGTACCTACTCTGTGTGCTACATTACAATGAATCCAGTCCCCTTTTTTTGCCATTTAAAATTGATTTATAGAGCTGTTAAAAGTCCTTTCACCAAAAACTGATTGCAGCTTCTACCTTCTGACAGGAATGTTGTTCGAGGACATTATTCAATAACATATGTTATTGTAGGTGATATACTCGGTTTAAATACCGGCAATCACTTTTTGACACAACATCAGAGAAAAAGAGTGAATGATTATTACTGTGCCTTTGGATCTCTGCACTGAATATTTTAGTTATTATGGGGTTTGTCTCCACACAGTAAATACCTTTTACAACTGGACGAGATAGCGGGATTCACTCAACAACTGATCTGAGAACATGCAACAACATACATGATCATCCAGTAGAGCTGGAATCATTTAAAATGTTTTGTAAATAACCTAAAAGAAACCCTATCGTTTGTTCTATTTGTCTCCGGGTGTCGTAACACGACGTAAATATTAATCAAGGAAAGAGAACAAGCTAAGCAACGTTAACAACACCAATCCCAGTAGACAACACACACAAAAACATCTAAAACTTTTTGAGTTTTATAATTAACATGTCATATAACCAAAAAATTATACGTACATCTACAAGCACTCCCAGTTCACTACGTTAAATTTCTAACGCTAACACAGGATTAAGACCATTAGCAGACCTTCAGCTGTGAATCAAAAGAATAGCCAATGGTTTTCTACCTGAACTTTCCAGTCTGTTGGAAGCACAGTTAACCTTCACCAATGCTCATTTTTCTTTCCGTCGGTAGTTTAAACGGCCTGCAGAATGCTACCTCAAATGCTGGCAGCTCAAAGTAACCCGAGCGTCCTTTTAAGTACCGTTTAACAAATTCCTGCTAACAAGAAGTTAAGCTAGCAGCACACTGGCATCCTCCGAGTACTTCAGTCTGGCTGATTCGTGACCGTTATTTGGCGTTGTTAAACACCGATGGACTCATTTTAACGACAACACCGCCACTATTTTAAGACTCCACTTTTGTGAAACTCACCTTGATCTTCAAGATCCGCTCCGGACAGCTAGTGCTGGTTTATGTGTACTCCACGGTTCTCCTATACCCGAGTAAAGCACCCAAACACAGGACGAGGCTGCGCGTCACGGCAAATCCAGAGAAGCTACAGGAACCTCTAAACCGCCCCTCCGCGGAACGAACCACTAGTTTATACGAGGGGTGAAATGAATAACTTAGAGTTCAAGGATTAAGTGTTCTGGCTCTAGTATTGACACAGACAAAAAAACACTGATACTCTATAATATTAAAAACATAACTAACGCCCATAAGTACAATAGTCCTATTACACAAATGGCGTATTGCAATAATATCATACATGCACCCCTATGATCAAAGCATATCTACGCCTTTCTTGCGTCATCAAAACAGTTCAGCGTTAGGTAAAAGACGTGATTTTTCTAGATAAACACAGGGATAACTACAAAAAGGGAACAGAAAAGCATTTTGTCTTCGTTTAACGGTTTGTCCGGGTCTATATACTTGTGTTTTAGGCGACTCTCGCGTCGTTTGCTAGTTTCTGTTTTTATTCTCCTTCACGTGAAGTCACACGCGGGAAATTCCAGCGTGAAGACCTAGTGGAACAGCCATTTATAGCACTGCGAGGGCAACTCTGGTCTCACTTCCCCCAAAATACATGACAGAAAATGGAAACGCTAAAGAAAACAGTCTTGGCTTTGACATGCAGAACGCTGGGTCTGTGCCTCTGTATTTGTACTTTGTTTTAAAAACAGTTAATAGGCACAGTAATGTCAGCCGATAAACCTTACTGTGCACCCCAATGCCTTTGATGGAAACTGTTCATTTCAGTCTAACACTGATCATCTATAATTATGCCAAAACAAACCCATTTCAGTAGGAGATAAACTCCTAGCCAAAGTTAAAGCATAGGACCTTGTAATGTCATTTATCCAATGAGAACATAATGACTTTCTGCTTCCAGGTCTACATGAAGGCATTTAACACTAGCATCCCCAGGCTTCTACCTTTCTACCTATAAAACCCGGAGAGCAGTCAAATGGTGGAAGTGGAAGCTAAACTGGCTAGTCATTCATATGTATATTAGGCTGTTAAGTAGGAATTCTGGATGGAGGGGGTGGGGGAGTGGAGTGTTTCAGTTTGCCATCTTAGGGAGAAATCAACACACATGGGTGTAGGTCCTTTGTTGCTGACATTTATTGATAAAAACAGTACAAAAAACCAACCATTTGTACACATATTTACAAATAATTCAACATTTTCAGCAATCACTCACAATCCTGGCACTGCCATGGTACCTGTAGTCTGCATTTACCACATGTGTATCTTTTGCAGTGAACACAAAGCACAGTGGCCTGATTTTTCTTGCATTTGTGTTTGACCTGACACGTGGTTCTTTTTCCTGACAAGTTTGGGATCAAGTTTTGGGTGGCTTGCGACCTAAAATACAAGTACATTTGCAATGTCTTCCCATATCTTGGCAAGGACCCCAGTCGTCCCACTGGGGAGAGACTTTCTGAAAATGTAGTAATGAGGCTGATGGAACCATTCCTAGACAAGGGCAGAAATGTTACCACGGACAATTTTTTCACATCGCTTTCACTTGCACAAAAACTTCTTAGACGGAAAACCACCATCTACATTTTCAGAAAGTCTCTCCCCAGTGGGACGACTGGGGTCCTTGCCAAGATATGGGAAGACATTGCAAATGTACTTGGATTTTAGGTTGCAAATTCCTACTTAACAGCCTAATATACATATGAATGACTAGCCAATTTAGCTTCCACTTCCACCATTTGACTGCTCTCCGGGTTTTATAGGTAGGAATCCCTAAAATGATGGCTCGCGGGGGTTTAAGTGTATAAAAACTGCTATAATGGCAAGCTGCTGTAGGCTTCACATGTCACTGGTATTACGTTTTCACTCATCCTGTTCACTTTGTTTCGTGACATTTTGATAATAACATGAAATAAGGCTGCTCTTTTAACAGAAATATCTAATCAACCAGTCTCATTGCAGTGCTTTTGGGCATGTTGGTGTGGTCAAGACGAGCTGTCTAAGTTCAAATCAGGCTTTAGAATGGGCAAGAAAGGTGATTAATGAGACTTTGAATGTGGCATGGTTGTTTATGCATGTATGTGTTAGACTGGTGGGTGTGAGTATTTAAGGAACTACTGCTGGGATTTTCTCGCGCAGCAATCTCGTGGCTCACCAGGAATGGTCTGAAAAAGAAAAAATAACCAGTAAGCAGCAGTTCTCTGAGCAGAAATACCTTGTCAGTAAAGTACAGTAACTAAAGAAACCACCCGTTTCAACTAAAGTGTGCAGAAGAGCATCTCTGAATGCACAACATATCAAATCTTGAAAGGTCACACTGTGTGCCACTCCTGGCAGCTAAGCATGGGAAATTTTGGCTATATATTGCACCAAAATTGGACAATAGAAGAAAAGAAAAACATCGCCTGTTCTGATTAATCTTAATTTTTTTATGTGACATTTAGAGGGTAGGGTTAGAATTTGGTGTAAACGGCATGAAAGGATCCATCCTGCCCTCTATCAACAGTTCAGGCTGCTGCTGGCGGTGGATTTATGTTTGGGACTTTTCTCAACCATGGGTGCCACAAGCCAGTGTGCTCCTAGTGTCAGTACCAAGCCTGGATAAATTTGGAGGGTTGTATCAGGAAGGGTAACTAATGGAAGACCTTTACCATAAAAAAAAAAAAAAAACCCAACCATGCAGATCATTAATTTAAAAAATCTGTTTACGTTGAACTCATTCTTTAGTGTAATTTTCTATTTTGTTATGTGATGTATTTATTTTCTTGACTGAAGTTGTTTTTTCTCTTTGGCTGCTATACACAGTAAAGTACTTCTTCTTCATTGCCAATCAGGATAGTTTTGTGTGGTTGGTTAGTACTGGATGCTACCTTTACGTGTTCACAATGCTATCAGTTTTGAAGAGACCCCCATCACCACTGGCTGAAATGCAGCCCCAGACTATCACAGAGCCTCCACCATATTTTACAAATTGTTGTAGACACTCACTGTTGTACCTCTCAACAACTATCATAAACCTCGTATTTTATTTGGTATTATAAATGTTGTTCTTAATCCTCCCAGTGATTTTCATATAGCAGCGAACATAACATCTGAGAATCTAATGAGATTCTTCATTAATAGAATTGTAGACATTAGGTCTCACATCATCCCTCCCATTTTGGACCTCAGCCGTCTTAAATCACTTCGAGCCAGTGTCCCCTGCATTACTTAATGAAGTAGTCAGCAACTTGAAAGTTTTTTCATCAATTGTAAACCGTTTTATTCACCGCGGGAGTTTTCTTCCTTCATGCTGGTCGGAGTTTACATCCCTCCACAGGCCAACGC